TAGTAAGTGGTTTAAGATATTTGCGAGAACTCATAAGTAAGGAGAACGCCACGATTCTAAACTTGCTTATAATGAATATTTAGAGGCTAAATGAATCATAAAGAATTTCAGCGTATTGTGCCGGAGTTAACAAGCTTGCGAATGAAATAAGTAAATCTGATTGGGAGATTTTATTTTTTAAAAAAACAAATAAATAATTTGGTAAATTTATATTGATATTTTTATTTAACTTTAATAGAATTAACCATTGATGTGTGTACATGGATAAGCCAACGAAATATAAATTTAAAAAAATGTGACGAGTATAAAAGAAAACTGTTGCAATTCAGGTGATCAAAAATCAATATTAGATTAAAATATGGGTTCTTAATTTGATATTAAAACGGTTATCGCCGTGATGCCACTCATGAACGGTCAAGAAGGTGTGGACTATGCTTTATATGCACAAGTAACCTAATAAGAGATGACTATTAACATGAATAAGAACTTAATTAATGAATTATTTGTGTATTTTTTGATAAAAACTAATCTTGTTTGCACACTTAGTGGCAGAGTCGATCTGGTTGCTCGCGAGTGTAGATTACGAGTGTAGTGTGATGGTGGTCAACCTTTTTGCTGAGATTGGCTACTAAGTAATTTTTTTATAATATACAGGGTGACCGGAATAGTGACGTCCAAAAAAATTTAAGTACCTCATATTGAGGGGTATCCGAATCACCCCATGTTCTGCGATTTTCGTAGTTTTCGAGTTATGATTTTTTTAATGGATTTTTTGAAATTTTCAACCGGGCAGGCTCAATTTTTTTTTTCAATTTGTGTCAACAATTTTTCGGGTTTTTTTGTAACTCAATCTTTATGAATCTTTAACACACAAAATAATCGGCTTCGTCACATCAATTGAAGCTACAATTATTAAAATTTTGACTCAAAGTGGAAAATTTGCGTTCGAGAGAGTCAGACTTGAATTTTCAACTTTAAATTAAAAATCTAATCCGGCAATTTCATAGTTCCTGGGTAACTTTAAAAACTGCGCTAGACCCTAAACTTTCATATTAAAACAAAAAAGTAGCACTTAATACGCCAAATTCAAAATTATTCAAAAGTCCTGAGGTCGAAAATTCCCACGATAGTAATTTGATTAAAAAAATAAATTATTGCCTATTTTATCTTCCCTAAGGCTAATTATGGTAGAAAGTGTATAAAGTAATAAAATAATAACTGTAGGAAAGCTAAGATCTGGACATTTTAAATTTTGTTTAATTTTATCCTAAATATTTTTTGCGACCAGTTCTCGGAAGTTTAGTTGCACGTTATCTTTTTTTACCTGGAATACCAATGGATCAGGTAAAGAATATTGATGTCTCTCTCACTCTTTGTATCTAGAACCGGTGTAAGCGAGAGGAACAACGAGCAATGTGAGTCAATGCAAACGAGAATCGCCTCAGTCGTTCTCACTTTATGTTTACTGCTACTCGTTTCGTCGTTTTATCTCTACCACTACGCAGTTTTGCCCACGGATCCTGCTATCTACTTATCTGACTACTTAGCTCGTTTATTGGTCTCTGTTTCGCATAGTAATTTGGACTTCGTTTACTTGAAAGTGTAAGTCTGAACTCACACTGGCGCAGAGTCGAAGCGTCGCGTCGCGTCCTGTTTTTCAACTCCACCGCCAGGCGACGCGCGATGACGTTCGCATTAGTGCGCCGGGATCACAGTTTGGTCGGCGTCAGACGCCTCACGGCGCCCAAGTGACGCGCGGCGACACGCGAAGCCGCGCGAATGCTACCAAGCTTCGATTCGCGTCGTCAATTCCATATTTGCAAAACAAATTTGTACCTTAATTATTGGAAAATATAGATGAATATGCTATAGGCGAAAAATATGACGCGTCGCGACGCTTCGACACTGTGAGTTGAGCCTTAGAGATGAGCTACACGTTAAGTGAATATGCAGAAATGTATTATTTTTATGGCATTGCTTATGGCAACGGCCATGAAGCAGCACGACTGTAACGAGATCAACTTCGACGCCGAGGTGGACCACAACCTGATCGATATCCCGATCATCTTGTTTTTATTAACACGCACGCCACATTAATGGCAGGCTGCATTCCTGGTCGACATAGCCATCGCAAAGCAGTCCCTAGAGTTGATCCGGATCGCAGAAAAATAATGTGCTGGAAGCACATCGTCAAAATCCATCAACGAGTACGAGAACTCTAGCGTTGACGTCTATCCAAGAGATAATTCACGAGGAAGGATACCATGCATATCATATTCGTATCAGCGAGTACAAGCTTTACTGCCTACAGATTATCAATTGCGGGTTGATTTTTGCCGAATTATGTTGCGAAAACAGCGAGAGGATCACCAATTTTTTAATAAAATTTTGTGGACTAATGTGTCACGATTTGAGTGAACTGGAATATTCAATATTCATAATTACCACACATGGGCGGTTGAAAATCCACACGCAGCGAGACCTTCAACTTTTCAACGTGTGAACATGGGGTCTGGTATCCTCAATGGAGAATTAATTAGGCCGTTTGAACTGCCGTCAAGACTTAATGCAGAACTCTACAACAGTTTTTTAGAAAACGATTTACCACTGTTGATGATTGATGGAAGTCGTTAACCTTGAAACTCTACGAATCGTATTTCAAAATGACGGCGCACCATGTCACTACGCAACACAAGTGCGAAATTATTTAAATCAAACGTACCCGAACAGATGGATCGGACGAAACGGACCAATTAGGCGGCCGCCACACTCACCTGACCTCAATCCCATCGACTTTTGTTTGGAGTTTTTACAAAGACCATACGCCAGAGAATGTACGAATGAACAAGAACTGAAGGAGAAAATCCAAGAAGCCAAACGTGATGTAAAAGGCAACAGACAAGCTTTTCGAAGACTAAAACATAATTTCTTGCGTAGGTGTAGGATGTGCATTTTTGTTAAAAGCCGTCATTTTGAAAACCTTTTATAAATAAATGTATTGCCATCACAATCAACTAAATTAAATTAGAAAAATAAATAAAAGTTAAATAATCTAAGTAAATAATAGGGGTTAAAGTATGAAATTGCCGATTTGTACTGAAAATCTAAATTGTTTATTTTTAAATTTTTAACAAATTTATTTAATCAAAATAGTTGCCATTATTATCTATACATTGCTGCCATCTAATGGGAAGGTTATTAATGCCTTTGCGATAGAACTCCGACGATCTAGACTGCACAAACTGTGTGAAAGCATTTTGTACTGCCTCCTGGGAAGAAAACTTCTTGTCACGTAGATAATTGTCCAAATCACGAAAAAAATGGTAGTCCGTTGGAGCAAGGTCTGGTGAATACGGAGGATGACGAATGGTTTCTAACTGCAGTTCCTGAAGGGTCAAAATGGTTTCTCGTGCTGTGTGAGGTCTCGCGTTGTCGTGGAGCAATAATGGTGGAGATCGATTCATGAGTCGGGGCTGTTTTACTGCTAGTTTTGTCAACATGGTTCGGAGTTCGGCACAATAGACATCTGCCGTTATTGCTTGACCAGATCGGAGAAAACTACAGTGAATAACACCATGCTGAGACCACCAAACAGTTACCATTACCTTTTTATTGGTAAGTTTTGCTTTAGGACACTGTTGTGGCATTTGACCTGGGGTCAGCCATTGCATTTTTCTTTTCCGGTTATCATAAAGAATCCACTTTTCATCACATGTTACAATTCGATCCAATATTCCTTCATTTCTGTACCGGTTCAACAAGGCAACACAAGTTTCAACACGCGTTTCTTTCTGCAGATCAGTCAAATCATGAGGCACCCATTTTTCGTATTTTTTTATTTTATTGATTTGACGCAAGTGAGTCAATATTGTGGGTAAGGTAACGTTAAACCATGCCGCTAATTCCTGGGTAGTTTGACTAGGATCGGCTTCCACTATCTCTCTTAATTCATCGTTATTCACCTGTGTGGGCGGTCTTCCTCGTGACTCGTTCTTTAAGTCGAAATTTCCATCACGAAAGCGTTTAAACCAAAATCGCACGGTGCGTTCATTAGTAGACCCCTCTCCAAACGCAGCATTGATATTGCGGGCTGTTTCTGCCGCGTTAGTTCCGCGTCGGAACTCGTATTCAAAAATCACTCGAATTTTCGCAGTATCCATCTTTCTTGTCTAAATTGAATAACAAAAACAATTGAAAGTCGATATTCAAATGTTTCAAATTTAAAAAAAAAATCACAGAAACCATTTGACAAAAGTTTCATTCGAAAACCTCAAACCATGAAGATTCTATGAAAATTCAAAGAACCTATTGCAATAAAACGGCAATTTCATACTTTAACCCCTAATACTTATAGCTATTAAGTTATTATTTTGTTAGTTTATACACTTTCTACCATAATTAGCCTTACGAAAGATAAAATAGGCATAATTTGTTTTTTAATCAAATTACTATCGTAGGGATATTCGACCTCAGTACCTTTGAAGGCTGATTTCGGCAAATAAAGGCCTATTAAGTACGTACTACTTTTTATTTACTATTTTTGTATTAATATGAAAATTTGGAGTCGAGAGTAGCGCAGTTTTTTAAGTTACCCAGGGACAATGAAATTGCCGGATTAGATTTTTAATTTAAAGTTGAAAATTCAAATCTGACTCTCTCGAACGCGAATTTTCCACTTTGTGTCAAAATTTTCGTCGCTTCCATTGAAGTTACGAAGCCGATTATTTTGTGCGTTAAAGTACAATTCATAAAGATTGAGTTAAAAAAAACCGAAAAATTGTTGTACAAATTGAAAAAAAAAGTTTAGAACCGATCCGGTTGAAAATTTGAAAAAATCCATAAAAAAAAATCATAACTCGAAAACCACGAAAAATCGCGGAATATACATGGGGGTGATTCGGATACCCCTCAATGTGAAGTACCTAAAGGTTTTTTTTTGGACGTCACCCTGTATATTACAGCCCAGGATTTTAAGATGTAGCATGATTTGATTTTTTTAGTGTCAAAACCAATAAAAGTATCCCGTTGCGAGTGCCCAGCGTGCGCGCCGACTTGGAGTCGACGGAACCTCCCCGGAGAACGCCACCCAGTCGCACGCAGTACATAGAAGGGCTCTGTCATCTTCGTAACATATCGCTATCTAAAAACCTACCCTCCGCATTTGTAATAGCACTCAACATACTTAGAGTGAAACAGGTAATGTGTTAATAATTCTACTTCTACATTTAAAAAAACTCATTTTCATTCAAAGCTAATCAACTGAGCAGCGTATCAGCGTAACAACTGTATATCCAAAGCCAAGGCCAACAAATTACATTCTGTGATTAATTGTCAAGAGACTTCATTTACACTGTCCTCTAAAGATCGAAACGTGACATGCAATAATAATGTGCCAGACAAGCAGATTTTCTAAATTATAGTATAAGAATTCGATATTTGATCTCTTCCAGGAAAGTGCTAGAAGCAATGAAAGCAGAATGACATTAAAGCGACCGATTCAGTGCAATACGTTAAAAACACCCCCAAAGAAAAAAGCGCAAAAGTCCAAACAATGTATCCAAGTAGACGGCATTGTCAATGTCGAAACGAATTTGCGACGCACCAGATCTATGGGCTCCATAGCAAAAGACGAAAATGAGACAACACCTAAGAAAGCTAAAATTCATGAAAGAGAAGTTGTCTCTGAGCGTAAGCCGCGTTTGAGAAGTGACACTAAGAAACTGGATACCAAAAACCGACACCATAGCCCACCATTAATTTCCAAAACCATTAATAACAATAAAGTCAATTTAGCTGTGAAGAATTTATCTAGTCCTTTAAAGAACTGTGATGTTAAGAAAATACTAGAGGAGCAGCTTAGGATTGAAAAATTGATAGAACAAGAAAAGAACGACATGGAGCTGGCGCGAAAGATGGACGCGGAGTGGAACGGTAGACGACACCTGCGCCGAGCACCAGCCAAGCGGCAGGTGACTATCAACTATGCTCTTAGACCTCCTAAAAAAGTTAAAGTCTAATTAGGGCACCAAGAGATGAGCTACATATCAACACGTTTCAGCGTCGCACTGATACCAACTGACATTATATTATAATACTTAGAATGACATTTGTATCTACTACCTACATCATTGATGTTAATGTATTTAGCTATCAACAATGCGGTTGCAATTGAAAATAAAATGTATAGTGTAATGCATAAAGAAACCATATATAAAATTCCTCATTTTCTACTTTTAAACCTAAAGTACGTTAACTTCAAGTACTGATTTTGCTAATTACACAGGTGTTTATTTTATTTTTTGTAATAAAATATGGTCTCACAGAATTTTCTGAGCATTAAAAGTAGTTTTGTAGTAAACTGTCATAAGTACATAAGTGTCATGTATACAGAGCTCAAAACGTCTTTATGTATTACAATTTTTCATCTGGGGCGACCTTCCTAGGTGTTCTGTTATTCCTTTAGCTTATCCCTAAGTTGACAATAAGTTGAGTTTATAATAGGGTAAATGACTTTTATTCTATGACACTAATATTATTATAAAGAAGAAAGTTTGTGACCGTCAGGATGGCTGGTCGCCTGTCGCATCTGGTACTGATTGTATATTCAAGAATTGCTACCTTTTCTAAATAATTGCTATCTTTGATATATTCTGAGAAATCAAAAAAAAAAAATTGACCTGCCATTTTGACGTCAGGAAGGCTGGTCGCCACTTTGTTCAGCATGAAGGGAGCAAATTTTCCAGAAGTATGTATTACCAATAATTGCTACCTTCACGAATTAAAGGTATACGCTTCCTATCTACATTAGTTAAAAAAATATAAACGATTGAAAAATTTTAAGAAGCAGAATATGTAGCAATTCTTGAATATACCTCAGTGCCAGATGTGACATGTGACATGTGACCGGCCGTCTTGACGGTCACGAAAGTTTGAGCGGATATTAATGAATGTTTTTAATTAGTCACGACGAATTTACTGAACAGATACGATTGTTTAAAACCTTGATTAGCAGTATTAGGATATTTTAACAGTGAATCCGAACGAAATCGCTGGCAGCATCAAGTAGCTTATATTTAATAAATAAAGTACTATGTCTGTGTAAAATATACACAAAGACAAGTACCAATGAAAACATTAGTAAAAAATGTTAAGTAGAAAAACACTATTAGACAAGACACCCAAGATGATGAGTGTTTAAAATCTGTCCACTTTCCCTTATTAGACGATAATGGCATTTATAAGCTATAAAACATAGAGTCAAGCACTCTTATTTTCATTTCATATTACGATACTAAATAAACCTTATTAACTTAATATTGCGAGTCTACTGTTACAAAAATCTTTTTATCATCCGTTGCTTGCTCAAAAATCCGCTTCTTTCTGTGGTAAAGAAATTTAACGTCAAATAATATCAACAATAATATTTAGAAAAACTTCACTCTACATTGTGTTTCCTTATTTTGAGAATAAAATGTCATTAGACTTGATTTTACAGATTTAAAGTTTTCTAGGCAAGGTCAAATACGTTTCTGTGAACCCTAGGTCCAGTGGTCAAATAATGGATTGTTAGTTGAAAATTGAGTTCGACGATCATCATGTGATCGAATGTTCGTTTGTACGAAACTCAATTTTAGTCGATGGATTGTTAGTTCGAAATTTATAGAATACGTCACAAATTTCGTTGTCACCATGAACCAAACAGTACAGTCAATGGCAAAAATAGGATACATAGATATAAAGTATTTTGAGAAATATTTATGTTGGGACGTATTTCGGCATATGTTTTTGAAACTATTCTTTGAAGGCATATTTTTTCCATTAACTGTACGTAATAGGTAAATAAATAAATAGAAACAATGCTTTTGTAATAGTAGTACTTAAAGATCTTAAAACAAATGCTGGTATTCTAAATACCATAATTATTAAATCAGTACCCTAACATCTGCTTAATTAGTAGTTACTTAAAAAGATCATTTGCACTAGCGTCACCTTAATAAAGTGTTTAAAAATAGACTACGGTAAAAAAATCGTGATTTAGACTTTAATGTTCTAGTCGCTTAAAAGATTGAATCAGTGCGCCCGCCATTTAAAAGTTGTGTGGTAGTGTGTAACCTTTTGTTAATCGATAAGCCTGCGCATACCATACAGGCGTTTTAACGTTGTCCACGCCCGAATAACTTTGTCCGTCTTCATCTTTCTTCAATCTCGAAAACTACACACCCTAGCTTAGATGCAGTTCTCAAGATTCATGCACTGTTAAAAAACGTCACCTATTACAAGCTGGAAAATTTACAGAATTTGGTCTCTGAAAATCTTCGGCTTGTATCTGTATCTAATCTATACAGATTTTATTTCATTTGACCGAAAACAACTTTCTTTTCTCGAATAATTATTTAAATAAATTTAAATAAATTCACTTCTGGCACTCGTCAGCCGCTGCCGTGTCACGCTTGCTTCGCTCGCTCGGCTCGTGCTCATTTTTCACATATTAACGTAACCTACGGAAGGGGCAGGCCGTACGTAATCTAAATTAAAACGTGATTAAAAAATCATGAAATATTTTATTGGAAATGATGTAATTAAGAGTTACGAAGAAAAAGCATTACATTCTTTATTACTATTTTGGTAGGTACATTTTTATCTAAGAATTATAATTTTTAGGAAATGAAAGTATTTTTCCGGATTTAAATCGCGTATATTTGTTTTTTCAAACAAACCGACGACGTTTCGGGCCCTTTACAGGTCCCATGGTCACGGTTGACATGGTCAAAGGACTATGTATAACAATCGCGAAAACCTAAGAACTCGATCAATTATAATTTTGTCGAAACGAATATTCAGTCTCATCTAAATTATGTGGAAAACAGAGACAGTAGCATAAACATGAATGGACCAAACAAACTTCCGCCAAATACACATACGTAATAACTATTCTTATAATACTTTTCCTTCTTATATTATACTTCTGCTGTAAGATATTTTTACAAATGCGTGCTACACGGTCCAGCGTCACCATAGTCTAAAGTTTCGCGACTAGAACCGACTAATTCATGACTTTCTGGATGCAATCATATTTAAGCTAGAATCTGTGGTTCTCGAGATTCAAGAATGGTGCCGATGCCGCCGGAATAAGCTTATTCCAGCGTGGACAGTAAAACATCTTAATAAATTTAAAACGGCGCGGCGTAACGACAAAATCTAGTTTTTTAAGACTAGAACCGACTAAATCACAACTTTTTTTTAACAAATTTTTATTTACCGCCGAAAAAGTTTGTATGGCAGCCATATTGAAAAATGGCGAAAAATAAATGTTGACCGCTAATTATTATTAAACACTCATAGAGACCCCGACATGTCCACTTTCAATCGAATTAGAGCAAATTTTTATCTGGCGCTAAAAAAGTTTGTATGGCAGCCATATTGAAAAAAGGCGAAAAATAAATTTCGACTGCAAATTATTATCAAACACCTATAGAGTTCCCCACATATCGATTTTCAGTTGAATTAGAGCTAATTTTTATTAGTTGTTGAATGGCGGCCATATTAAAAAATGGCGTAAAACCATTTTTGATCACAAATTATTATCAAGCACTCCTAGAAACCCACACATACCAATTTTCAAAGGGATCAGAGCATTTTTTTTTCTGCCGCCAACTAACGCTTCTATGGCGGCCATATTTGAAAATGGCGAAAAACCAATTTTGACCACAAATTAAGTAAGAACTTGTAGCTTTATATATATAATAGGTGTTTTACTGTACACGCTAATTGCAGTTTTTTCAGATCTATTGCCCCCATAAAAAGTTAGGTCTAGTCGGTCCTAAACGCAAAATTCTAAAATGAGTCGATCCTGTGTACAAAAGACATCGAACATCAACTATTTCATATATTAGAATTTGTTATTAAAGAATGCATTCACTTCAGCCTGTTCGTTTTGTTATGTGCCTACGATTTGCATAAATCGCACCCCTCATAGAAGAATGGTATAAGTGTAGTTACGTCAAAAATATTTATTGCTCTAGATACAGAAAAAGATAACCCACATCGGCTCCAATGCTCGGAAAAGTACCCTATTTTGTCTTTATCGTGTAATTTACTTAAAAGACACTTCCATTCATTCGTTCGTAGTGATAATAAATAGGTACATATTCAAAATATCTACTGAGTCTGAAGACAATTTATTTGTAGTTGAATATTCATCATTAATTTCATTAAATTTATGATAAATATTCAAATTTAAAAAGTACATTATTGCAACTCAATTCTGATCTAAACATGTAGGGTACGCCACACTATCTTGTGTAGGCCGGAACATAATAAAATTTTCCTTACATGTGTAATAAAATTTAAATACTCGATTGAGGTGACTCTGTTATAATAATAATAAGGGATACAGATATGTTTTGTTCGAACAGCGTCACGTATATTGATTATTAAATCTTGTTTGTTTCTCTCTTTATTATATTAATAGAACAAGTAACCATTCGGCCAAATGAAGTTTCATACTAATGAATCATCGCGCAATCAATCTATAGCATAAACATCATCGCTATGATGAACTGTTCACTTAACCCATTTCAATAAATTGGATAATGGTGTAATTAACATCACTGAGTGATAATCTTAGAGCATATAGGACTGATAATAATTGACCATCGTTTAAAGGACTTAGCACAAACGTATTTCGACCTTGTGCCGCAAACTCTTTTTAAGCATATTGTTTCGTAATGTAGGTATACACATTTTGTTGCAACACTGCCTTAAGAGTAATTTCATGCTTGGCAAGTGAAAAATTGCGTTGCCGTGATTTCTGAAACTCATTTCCTACACAAAGCATACGTTGTGCATGGGCGCGTTCCCATTATGTCGTGACGATAAATAATTGTGCAGTTTAAAGTGTCATGGCTTGTATATTTAAATGAAGTCGTTGTTCACACATTAACTAACTGTCCTTCAGGACTTTTTTGACGTTACGACGATAGACTGTCGTGACAATGGGAAGAGCTAGAACTAGAACGACAGTCGTCAGACGGTAAATAAAACGTCACAATAAGAACGTGACGACAGATAATTGCAGCTTCAAACGATAATGTCGTGCAAAAATACAAGGCATCTGCCGTGAGCTGATAAATTGTCTTCACGATCTAGTGGGAATAGCTGGACACAACATTCGTCCAATGATAGAATAAACGTCCACGACAGATAGTCGTGATATGAGAACAGGCTAGACGCGACAGTCGTCAAACGATAAATAAAACGTTACTACATACTGGGAACGCG